TTCATATTTTGTAGGTAAATTTGGAAGGATGAATATTATGAGGTGAGGGGCTGGCAGACAAGGGGTTGACTTTTATGTAGAAATGCATCCCTTTGGAAATTTAAATTGACGTATTTTACGATATTTCACTGTCCCAATAGATGTCCCAATGCAGAGTGTCCCATTTCATTTGGAGTGCACTGTACGAGATCTTCTCTACATGGTACGCAATGAAATGTGTGTGCTGAACATTGACATCATTCTGGCACACCTTCGCCATTTTGAAAATTGTTTCAGTAAATGGCGAAGGAGCAAACTCCTCATTTCAAATAATCCACAAAAATTATGAAATACCGGTTCTTACTTTAATTTTTTTTTGTTATTTTACCTTTTTTCCATTCATAATGGAATATAATTTCAATTTCATACGATGCTTGAAGATGTTCCATCCTAGGTGTCTGTATTTGTTTCTTGACTTACATTCATTATTCTACAACTTTCTTCACAAGGAAAATATAAAAGAATCCTGAACTATTGATCCTAGACAATCGTCTTTTAAACTATTCCGGGTAAATTTTATATTTGCCCTGTTATATTCTTTTTTTTTTGCTGCGAACTGGTTCATTTTGGGCAAAAAACCCAAGAGACATTTTTTGTTTAGAATGAAACAGGCTATCGAAAATAAATTTTTAATTGGTAAACAAATAATAAGACAAAGAGTTATATTGGAAATACATTTTAGGGATTGCGTTTTCGACCCCTTACAACCATGGGGTAAACCAAATAAATTTCTGGCTAAGTGTCTTTTTGATAGTACAAAACGTCAGGTTGATTTCAATATTGTACTTTTTTAGTGCTTGTGAAAAAAATTGTTATACAAATTTTATGTACCCCCTTTAAGGTGCTGTATTTCAACAAGGGATGCTCCAATGAAGTTTCTTTATATGAAAGATCTTTTTTTCGATGAGGAATCACCTCCTTAAATGTTTTACACTCATTTAGTTACACCCTGTATATTGATTCTCATTAGTTTATGAAAAATCAAAGCCGTGAAAGTTCATAATTATATAAAAAATATTTTTGTTGAGTAAATGAAATAGTGCAATTCATTGACTACCTACACTTTTGATCTATTTTAGAAAGTACCTATTTAGGTATAACGAGGTAATGTGTCCTTACGTCATGGTAATTGATTTTGGAAATGTACCTACTCGATTCAATTTCATATAAATTGGGGATCAGATCGATAGCACGTTAGTTCTAATTGATAGTTGTTATATCGTAATGTTATATTTCATCGGTTGCGCATTGTGAAGTGACGTATTCTTTAAAATTTGGTTTCTGCAGATAAGCTGGTGCATTCATAGGCCTGACAATGGGCATTCATGATGGAATTTATACTGGAGAACGACCAAAGTGTACAACATGTTCGAAATCATTCGCACATAAAGGTGCTTTGAAAGTGCACGAGAGAATTCATACCGGAGAAAAACTATTTAAATGTACATTATGTTCAAAATCTTTCACCCGAAAAGACAATTTGAAAGTTCACGAAAGATGTCATTCTGGAGAAAAACCTTTTCAGTGTGGAACATGTTTGAAATTCTTCAGTCGCCGCGATAGTTTGAAAGTTCATGAACGGACTCATACTGGAGAACAACCGTTTCAGTGTCGAATTTGTTTCAAATCTTTCACTCAAGCTAATACTTTGAAAAATCATGAAATGAGTCATACTGGGGAGAAGCCATTTCAGTGTCCACAATGTTTGAAATCTTTCACTCATAAGAGAAATATGAAAGTTCATGAAAGGTGTCATACTGGTGAGAAACCTTTTCGGTGCTGCATCTGTTCGAAATGTTTCAGTCGGAGTGACAAGTTGAAAATTCACGAACGGGGTCATCCTGAAGGGTATCATTTTCTAGCTTTTTAGATCTTATGTATTCCGTGTACTTTGTATTTTGATCCATATTGTGTATTCTGTATTACGACAACTTTGAATTAAATATATTCATTTAAGCTTTACTTTGTATTTTGTTTTTGAATTGTCCGAGACTGTGTCATGAGATTAATTATAGGATTTGTTATGGAACCAAATGTGATGTTCTCAAATCTTTCCTTTATCGAGGGCCAGGTCAGAATTACCTGTATTTCTTTATTAGCTGAACATTGTGAAGTGCGGATTCAGTTACTGCGGTTAAGCTGGTGCATTCCTACCCTCTGACAATGGCCAACTCTAATGGAATAACCATCGAATGTGGTGATGTGGCGATGAAGTGAAACTCTAGTTCAGTGAAAGTAAAACCAGAAGAATTAAAAATGCTCAGGGGCGAAATATTGGATATTCATTTTCAATGGATTGCAAATATATCATTATTGGAGAACAGAGAAAATCAGAAAGTGAACATCGGATTATGACACTTACGGACTTGATGAATTTACTACATCGGTAGATATTTTAATTTTTGAATAAATAATCTGTTGCTGTATACCAGTTATTTCGTATTTTCATAGTACTGCTTTCAAAACTACGTCGAGAAAATGTATTTGTGTTTTCATAGTATGAAAACGCTTTGAGTTGAGTGAGCTGTTTTATGGCGATTTTGTGAATTGTCCAGTGAAAGGGTTACAGTAATAATAATAAGTTATCGATTTCTCCCACTTTCTATTTCGAAATCAAGTTGAAGTTCAAAAACGTATTTTTCATATTATGTAGGTAAATTTCGAAGGATAGAATGAATAATTGAAAGGTCTTTCACTTGAATATTATGAAATTTTCAACATAATGTTCATTAAGGTGAGGGGTTGACACACAAGGGGTTGCATTTCATGTAGAAATGCGTCCCTTTGGAAATTAAAGCTGACGTATTTTACAATGTTTTACAGTCCTAATATCAAATAACCCCCGCAGAGAGGCTCATTTCATTTGGAATGTACTGTATGATATCTTCTCTACGTAATGAAATGTGTGTGATAAACATTGACATCAGTCAAGCACACCTTCGCCATTTTGAAAATTATTTCGCTAAATGGCGAAGGAGTCAATTTGTATCAGACGATCAGAGAATAGAATATTTCTTCTCATACTGAGGAACATATCCCAATAATGTTATTATCTGAAAACAAATCATGAAGATGATTATTGTAGTTATGAGAAAATATCCAAATAGTCCCTTTTCAATTTTCAGAATATCATTATGATTTCACTCATTGTTGATTACATTTCTTCAACTCATACAGTCGAATCAGTACAATCGATTCATCGGAAAATTGCCTTGTTTTTTTCTTCTCTCGTTTCTAACGATATTGTTTCAATTTTTTTCCAAACCCAGAAATTTCAACATGCATTTATTTTTCTTCCTGTAGGTTTTAAATTTGTTACCACTTTTTATAACAACAGAGATTCGAATTTTCAATATCAGATACAAACAAGCAAGCGAACTGAAATTTAATGGAATCGCATACGAGAAAATATCCATCATGCGAGTTTTTCATCGCGGGAGATTGTTCATCATTCAACTCTGCTCGGTTTCGAATGAGATATTTTACCCATCAGAGAGATTCACACATTTATTTATGTAGTATGTAGAAAATATTTCGTACAATGCATTTCAATTGAAATGTGCCCCCTGACAATGTTATTTGATATTGAGAATTTCCAGGGGACATATTTATATTACGTAAAAATGCCAATCTCTCTTCATAGTGAACGTTATGTTATTCAAGAAACACTATTGTGAGATTCTCGCTAAGCAGTTTTACAAAATTTACCATACCTTCTTCACCCATGTCTACATGTGACATTAAAAATAAAAATTATATCCTGTGAAGAATTTCTATTTCTGCTAAGAACCCTTCGACATTTCCAAAGTTGCATTGCTCTCCAAGAACTGTCTTCAATTCTGAACTGATGCTGAACTTTTGTCGTTGTGGTACAAAACTGGGACATTCCACTATGATGTGTTTGACTGACATTGGTACCGAACACATAGGGCATATCTTTTCTTCCTTCCCGTTGAGCAAATGTTCATGTGTGTATCGAGTATGTCTCATACGTAAACGTGTTATAACAATATGGTGTCTGCTTTGTGCAGGGATTCTGTTCCATGGTGTAGTATTGGTTTTGATTTCTCTCAACTTCATTTTTGAGATGTTCCATTTGGAATTCCAAAAGTTGAGAATGCTGTTTCATATGATGTTTGAGATCATATGGACAACATGGGACAAACTCTCTGACTCTTGCAGTGTTTCATCATACACGGCTTTACAGGCAATTCTGTCTACCCTCTCATTGCCGATAATGCCAATGTGCGAGGGGACCCACATGAATTCCAATACTTTGGAGGCCTCATTCACTGAAAATATATTGCTTCTCTGATGGACTTTATTAACGAAGAGTTTGAGCATATTCATTTCACAAACTACACTTAAACGATTTGATCTCCACTAACTTTATTGAAAATAATCATAACATGTTTCGCTAAAACATTAGCTTTTTCAAATGATTTGAATTTGTTGAAATTGGAGAGATATGTATTGCAACGGGGTAGAACCAGGAGCCAAGGCGGAGGGTCGGAGTAATTGATGGGGAGAGTTTTATGGAAGGCAACGTTATTCTTTTTCTCTTCTCGAAAAGCCGGCTAAAACAATTGGAAAACGTATAGACGTTTTCCAATTGTTTTATATAGACAATTATTGAAGATGTATACGCCAGACTCGTGTATTTTCTTCTCATGTGTAATGATGTTTCACCCGATCCACAGTATAGGCTTTCAGAGGGTGTAGTTCTGTATGCTCCAAGAGCTAGTCTTATTGCTGTGTTGTGAACAGTATCTATAATTTTTAGGGCAGCTTTGCTTTCTTTCAATCAATCATATTCATTTGAACAATAGATCTCTTTTTTTTAATGAATCTTGGACTATTGACTGAAAAGATATTCTGGGATATAGTGTAGGGTTTGTTGTGAATCCGAGTCATACTAGAGAGAAACCGTTTCAGTGTGGTATATGTTCGAAAATTTTTAGTCGAAGTGATAATTTGAAAGTTCATGAACGGACTCATACTGGAGGACAACAGTTCCAGTGTGGAATCTGTGGGAAATCTTTCAGTCGAAGAGAAAATTTGAATCGTCATGAGCGAGGTTATACTGGAGAGAAACCGTTTCGGTTCTGTATCTGTTCGAAATGTTTCAGTCGGAGTGACAAGTTGAAAATTCACGAACGGGATCATACTGAAGGGTATCATTTTCTAGCTTTTTAAATCTTATGTATTCTGTGTACTTTGCATTCTGATAACTTTGAATCAATTATATTCATTCAAAAATTATTTCGTTTTTGAATTCGTCTGAGAATATGTCATAAAATAATATGAGATAAATCATAGGATTTGTTGTGGAACCAAATACTCATCAAAAGTTTGTTTGACTGCAAGTTTTTGATATGATATACAGGGCCTGTGTTCCGTTTTTCCGAAGATAATTTACAAAAAATAGGAAAATATACACATATTTCAGAAAGGGCCTTCAACGGTAATGTAGTAGTGTGCTCAAATCATTCCTTTTGTAGGACAGTGCGAATTTGGTTTCTGCAAATAAGCTGTTGTATTCATAGACTCTGATAATGGCCAACGTCAATGGAATAACCGCTTATCGATTTCTCCTGCTTTACAATGATGTTTTGCCCGGTTCCCCAAGGAGATCGTTCCCCTCACCATACTTATTTCTGTCACTGACCAGGAGTCTAACGACTCCGTCCATAAGACCACATTGGCTTCCCGGACAGGGCCTCCAGCCCCCTGGCCGTTCCCCTACTCGCCACCTGGGGACGCGCCCGATAGGTAGCCCAACCCACGGGAAGTATTTTTCATATTATGTAGGTAAATTTTGAAGGATGAATATTATGAGGTGAGGGGCTGGCAGACAAGGGGTTGACTTTTATGTAGAAATGCGCCCCTTTGGAAATTTAAATTGACGTATTTAGTAGGAGATTTGAGCCGGTTCTAAGCCTCCCCCCACCACTATGACGTATTAATTGCTTTTTTATTGGTTGTTGTTTGGTGAAGTCACTGTGATGTGACCTTGAAGGGTGTGGTGTATGGATCGTTCAGAAATTTTTTCCCGGTTCTAATCCTCCCCCCACCAATATGACGTGTTATTTTTTTTCCAAACCCAGAAATTTCAACATGCATTTATTTCTCTTCGTGTAGGTTTTAAATTTGTTACCACTTTTTACAACAACAGAGATTCGAATTCCTTAATATCAGATAGAAACAAGCAAACGAACTGAAATTTAATAGAATCTCATACGAGAAAATATCCATCATGCGAGTTTTTCATCGCGGGAGATTGTTCATCATTCAACTGTGCTCGGTTTCGAATGAAATACTTCAACCATTAGAGAGATTCACACATTTATTTATGTAGTATGTAGAAAATATTTCGTACAGTGCATTCCAATTGAAATGCACCCCCAGACAATGTTATTTGATACTGAGAATTTCAAGGGGATATATTTATATGTAAAAATGCCAATCTCTCTTCATAGTGAACGTTACGTTATTCAAGAAACACTATTGTGAGATTCTCGCTAAGCAGTTTTACAAAATTTACCATACCTTCTTCACCCATGTCTACATGTGACATTAAAAATAAAAATTATATCTTGTGAAGAATTCCTATTTCTGCTAAGAACCCTACGACATTTCCAAAGTTGCATTGCTCTCCAAGAACTGTCTTCAATTCTGAACTGATGCTGAACTTTTGTCGTTGTGGTACAAAACTGGGACATTCCACTATGATGTGTTTGACTGCCATTGGTACCGAACACATAGGGCATATCTTTTCTTCCTCCCCGTTCAGCAAATGTTCATATGTGTATCGACTATGTCCCATACGTAAACGTGTTATAACAATATGGTGTCTCCTTTGTGCAGGGATTCTGTTCCATGGTGTAGTATTGGTTTTGATTTCTCTCAACTTCATATTTCTCCCCACAGGACATATTTCGGTGTATCCTTTCCGAAGCTCTGGTCTATCAGATATATTCCTCACAGTCGTAAGGAGCTGTGGATAAACAATCTTTAGAGTCGTAGGGGGCTGTAGAGAATCAATCATTCCTCAGAGCCGTAGGGGACTGTGTGGTATGGTCAGTTTGTTAGAAATTCATTCTTGAGATGTTCCATTTGGAATTCCAAAAGTTGAGAATGTTGTGTTTCATATGATGTTTGAGATCAGTATGGGACAAACTCTCTGGCTCTTGCAGTGTTTCATCGTACACGGCTTCACAGGCAATTCTGTCTACCCTCTCATTGCCGATAATACCAATGTGCGAGGGGACCCACCTGAATTGCAATACGTTAGAGGCCTCATTCACTGAAAATATATTGCTTCTCTGATGGACTTTATTAACGAAGAGTTTGAGCATATTCGTTGGATACCTTACAGTGAACTCAGTGAATTAGTTAAGATAAGTGTTTTGTTGATCCCTTCGTGTGAATACTGCTTACCTTGGATGTGTCGAGAAAGCTGATGTAGTTTCTTGCTTTGACTTTGAAGCGTCCGTGTAGATGTAAGTGAAGCCATCATATTCAGTCAAAGATGAGTGAAAGTAACTGAGCAGCAAACTGGGAAGCGTTTCGGCTTTGTTGAAATTGGAGAGATATGTATTGCAACGGGGTAGAACCAGGAGCCAAGGCGGAGGGTCGGAGTAATTGATGGGGAGAGTTTTATGGAAGGCTATGTTTTATTCTGAAATGTATTGATTGATACTTTGATAGAAAGGCAACGTTATTCTTTTTCTCTTCTCGAAAAGCCGGCTAAAACAATTGGAAAACGTATAGTCGTAAGTCGGGTGACAATTATTGAAGATGCGTACGCCAGACTCATGTATTTTCTTCTCATGTGTAATGATGTTTCACCCGATCCACAGTATAGGCTCTCAGAGGGTGTAGTTCTGTATGCCCCAAGAACTAGTCTTATTGCTGTGTTGTGAACAGTATCTATGATTTTTAGGGCAGCTTTGCTTGCTTTCAATCAATCATATTCATTTGAACAATAGATCTCTTTTTTTAATGAATCTCGGACTATTGACTGAAAAGATATTCTGGGATACAGTGCAGGGTTTGTTGTGAATCCGAGTCTAACTCATAGGCAAGTATTCTCAACAATGACATTTTTTTTTCGAGCTGAAATTACCCAAAATGGTTCAACCTTGATCAATTCAATGCATTCAATTTTTTCAACTATCCGATAGTTATGTCGGGAAAATATTATTCTCACATAAATTCATGGAACCTGGTAACGTTGATAACAGACAACATGACCGTTTAGGACTGTCTTGAAAAGAAATATGCATTTTTCGTCCCAATCATCAAGAGTGAGTCTTTAAAACTTCTTCAGGAATCTTCATCGTCGAAGTTTGTGAGACTCAGCTAACTCCTGTAGATGATATATGTGATGAAAATAGCAGGTACTGTAGACTACCAACACTTGATATTTTTTAGAATGTCAGAAAGGAAATAGAACCCCGATTATTGCATCACATGCAAGTTTACAGTGTTCAGTTTGAATACTTGATTTAATACATTTTTCTAGTTAAAAATTTCCAGTCTCAATATCAAATAACCCCACCATACTCATTTCAGTTGGAATGCACTGTAAGAGATCTTTTCTACATACTACATGATGAAATGCGTGCGAGAAACATTTACATCGCCGTTTTGAAAATTAATTCAGCGATATATGATGATAAATATTGATTTTTCTCTATTTCTGAGTCATATCTCATTGTTTTCCTAGTATTCTGAAATATGTATGTTGAATTATTTTTGACTTGTTCCTTCGTTGAAAATTCCTTACAGAAAAATGAATTCTCACCCACTGTATCATTTTTCATTTGAATGTTTTGATTCAGTCATAGAACGATATACGCCCCTCAATATTGATTCTCATCAGTCTCTGAAAATCAAAGCTGTGATAGTTTATATGTATATAAAAAATATTTTTACTTAGTAAATGAAAAATGTAAGAGAGAAATGTGTTTTCGCAATCTTCTCAATCTTCAGGAAATGGTGAATGGTCATCAATAGTGCAATTCATTCAATACCTACATTTTCGATATTTTTCAGAAAGTACCTATTAAGATAAAGAGATGATGTGTAATTACGTCATGGTAATTGATATAGAAAAAGTACCTACTCAATTCAATTTCATATAAATTGGGGATCAGATCGATATCACGTCAGTTCTAATTGATAGTTGTTATCGAACTGTTATATTAAATCAGTTGCACATTATTAAGTGACATATTCTTTGAAATTTGATTTCTGCAAATAAGCTGGTGCATTCATATACCTGACAATGGCCAACAATGATGAGATTCATACTGGAGGACGACCAAAGTGCGAAATCTGCTCGAAATCTTTCGCTAATAAACAAACTTTGAAAGTGCATGAGAGAATCCATACCGGAGAAAAACTGTTTCAATGTACATTCTGTCTGAAATCTTTCACACAAACTCAGACTCTGAAACGTCACGAAAGGAGTCATTCTGGAGAAAAACCTTTTCAGTGTGGAACATGTTTGAAATTCTTCAGTCGCAGCGATAGTTTGAAAGTTCATGAACGGACTCATACTGGAGAACAACCGTTTCAGTGTCGCATTTGTTTCAAATCTTTCACTCAAGCTAATACTTTGAAGAATCATGAAAGGAGTCATACTGGAGAGAAGCCATTTCAGTGTTCACTATGTTTGAAATCTTTCACTCAGAAGAAATATTTGAAAATCCACGAAAGATGTCATACTGGAGAGAAGCCCTTCCAGTGCTGTATATGTTTGGAAGTTTTCAGTCGGAGTGATAGTTTGAAAGTTCACTTACAGAGGCATACTGAAGGATGTCATTTTCTTGCTTTTTGAAATTTATGTATTTTGTATTTTAATAAATTACGTTCATTCGAAAATTACTATGAGTTTTTCATAATTCATAGTCATGAAAGTTTAAGTCCAACTCCCAATCATTCATTTTCATATGAACGTCATCTCCATATAATTTCGTCTTCCAATTTGTTTTGAATGAATGTTTTGATATAGATTTTTCTTTTATTCATTCGAATAACAATTTTGAAATTCCTTTCTTATTATCCGAAGCAGAAATCATATAAAAAAATGATATAGTGTGAATCTGCAGCCAAAAATTTCCTCTGAGCAGTATTTGAAAAAGTATTTACAAATTATTCAACTCTGTTGAGAAACGGAAATGTCTAGGAAGGGTATGACCAAGTTTGAAAGAACGACAGATTGAAACTTTCACTGATGACGTTGGTTGTTGATTATGACAGTACGGTCGAAGCCTGAAATCAACAAAATGACCTAAAGGGGACACGAATGGAAATTTCTTTGATGCATGGAAAGTATTTTATTATGTTATATGTAGCAATGAGCCCAGACAGTGTATTCCAAATAGAATGAGTCACCTCGTGAAAAACTCGTAAAATAATTCAACTTTAATTCCCAAGGATAGACATTTCTACGTAAAAATGACCCCCTTGTTTATCAATCCTTCTTCATGATTGTGGTGTGGTGAAAATTCCATGTAGGAATAATATTCCAGTGGAACCTTACATAAAAGTTCTTTCAATTTTGCAGTTGCAGAAAGACGTTTTTATGACTCACTCTTGATGATTGGGACGAAAACTTCGTGTGAGAATTCTGATACGTGTGATGGATTGGCCGATATTTGATGGAAATCCACTACTTATTCAAGTAGAACTTTAATGTTACATTTTCACCGGACAGTTTACAAAAGCACAACACGTATTTTCCCATTCAATGTTTCTAAAACATTTCCATACTATGGAAATGCATGTATAATATTTTCCCGACATGATCACAGGATAATTGAAAAATTCAATGCATTGAATTGACAAAGGTTGAACCATTTTGGGTAATTTTGAGAAGGGTAACCCAGACCCTGCTTGTTTTATAGTTATTGTTTATATAATGATTGCTTCAGCTCGAAGAAAAATTCAATTGTTAGGAATACTTGAGTTAGAATCGATTTCACAACAAATCCTACACTATATCTCAGAATCTCTTTACAGTCAATAGTCCGAGATTCGTAAAAAAAAAAGATCTGGAAGATTGAGTTCCCTCTTACAAATGTAACACGTCACAGTCGTGAATATACTCATATCTTTGGGAAAGAAAGTTTTTGGCCTTCTACTACTCCATCTTGATACATAAAAGAAGGATGAGGAAGTCTTCCAAAGAAAGGAAGGAAGTAACTCTATACATGGATGTGTAGATCATGCAAAGAAGTAACTTTCAGACACAAACTGAAAGAAAATCCTCTTGAAACAGCTACTTTCATATAAATATTGAATTAGCCCTAAGCCTCTTCAGTACCAAATTGGATAACATTATAGAAAATACACACACTTACGGGAAAGTATCTTAAGGCGAAACATCGATGTATACCAGTGAGGATGGCAGTGTTCTATGTAAGTGCAATTTGTTACCATCCATTTAAAGTAGAACTCATGTGAAACTTGCCCGTAATTCATGAATGAAGTGTGTGTATTTTCTATAATGTTATCCAATTTGGTACTGAAGAGCCTTAGGGCAAGTGTCTTAAGGCGAAACATCGGTGTATACCAGTGAGGATGGCAGTGTTCTATGTAAGTGCAATTTGTTACCATTCATTTAAAGTAGAACTCATGTGAATGATATCTGATTTTTATTCCACAACGAATGTTTGAAATACGAACTGAGTAAAGAAAAGTATCTTCTGTATAATTCAGTGTTCATATAGAAGTATTTGTTTCGAAAGAATTTTTTCTTTCGTATAATTCAATGTTTATATGAAAGTAGCTGTTTCAGGAAGATTTTCTTTCAGTTTGTGTCTGAAAGTTACTTCTTTGCATGATATACACATCCATCTTTAGAGTTACTTCCTTCCTTTCTTTGGAAGACTTCCTCATCCTTCTTTTTTGTATCAAGATAGAGTAGTAGAAAGCCAAAAACTTTCTTTCCCAAAAATTAATCACTCCTGAAAAATATAACCCCTTCAATTCAAATACTCATATCCTTCTGCTAACTGAAGGTTTGCGAATGTGGAATTGTTGTCCTAGTATTCTGAAATATATATGTCGAATCAGTTTTTACTTGTTTTCTCGTTGAAAATTCCTTACAAAGAATAAATTCTCACAAACTGTATTATTTTTCATGTGAATTTTTTTCAATTCAATCATTTAACTCATAGAACGATATATGCCCATCTATATTGATTCTCATCAGTCTCTGAAAAACCAAAGCTGTGAAGTTTTATGTATGTAAAAAATATTTTTATTGAATAAATGAAAAATATAAGGGAAAATTTGTTTTTTCACTAGTAATATCTTCCGGAAATGATGATTGGTCATTAATGGTGCAATTCATTGACTACCTGCACTTTTGATTCAGTTTAGAAAGTACCTTTTTAGGTAACGAGATAATGTGTCATTGCGTCATGCTAATTGATTTTGGAAAAGTTCCTACTCAATTTAATTTCATATAAATTGGGGATCAGATTGATATCACGTCAGTTCTAATTGAAAGTTATTATCGTACTGTTATATTTCATCAGTTGCGCATTGTGAAGTGCCATATTCTTTCAAATTTGGTTTCTGCAAATAAGCTGGTGCATTCATAAGTGTAATACTTGTTCAAAATCTTTCGCTAATAAAAATTATTTGAAGATTCACGAGAGGATTCATACCGGAGAAAAATCGTTTCAATGTACATTCTGTTAAAAATATTTTACTCAAATCAGTACTTTGAAAAATCATGAGAGGAGTCATACTGGGGAGTAGGCATTCCAGTCAAAATTCTGCATGAAATGTTTCACCCGAAAAAATCATGTGCAAGTCCATGAAAAACCCTTTCAGTGTGGTATATGTTCGAAAATTTTCAGTCGAAGTGATAATTTGAAAGTTCACGAACGGACTCATACTGGAGAATAACAGTTCCAGTGTGGAATCTGTGGGAAATCTTTCAGTCGAAGAGAAAATTTGAATCGTCGTGAGCGAGGTCATACTGGAGAGAAACCCTTTCGGTGCTGTATCTGTTTGAAATGTTTCAGTCGGAGTGACAAGTTGAAAATTCACGAACGGGATCATACTGAAGGGTATAATATATCATAGGATTTGTTGTGGAACCAAATACTCATTAAAAGTTTGTTTAACTACAAGTTTTCAATATGATATACAGGGCCTGTGTTCCGTTTTCCGAAGATAATTTACAAAAAGTAGAAAAATATATACATATTTCAGAAAGGGCCTTCAACGGTAATGTAGTAATGTGCTCAAATCATTCCTTTTATAGGACAGTGCGGATTTGGTTTCTGCTGTTGCATTCATAGACTCTGATAATGGCCAACGCCAATGGACTAACCGCTTATCGATTTCTCCTGCTTTACAATGAGGTTTCGCCCGGTTCCCCAAGGGGATCGTTCCTCTCACCATACTTATTTCTGTCACTGACCAGGAGTCTAACGACTCCGTCCGTAAGGCCACATTGGCTTACCGGACAGGGCCTCCAGTCCCCTGGCCGTTCCCCTATCCGCCACCTCGGGACGCGCCCGATAGGTAGCCCAACCCACGGGAAGTATTTTTCATATTATGTAGGTAAATTTTGAAGGATGAATATTATGAGGTGAGGGGCTGTAGAACAGAGAACATCGGATTATGACACTTATGGACTTGATGATTCTTTTGAAGAATTTACTACATCGGTAGATATTTTAATTTTTGAATAAATAATCCGTTGCTGTATACCAGTTATTTCGTATTTTCATAGTGCTGCTTTCAAAACTACGTCGAGAAAATATATTTGTGTTTTCATAGAATGAAAACGCTTTGAGTGAGCTGTTTTATGGCGAAACACACGTTGCGATTTTGTGAATTGTCCAGTGAAAGGGTCACAGTGATAATAATAAGTTATCGATTTCTCCCATTTTCTATTTCGAAATCAAGTTGAAGTTCAAAAACGTATTTTTCATATTATGTAGGTGAATTTTGAAGGATAGAATGAATAATTGAAAGGTCTTTCACTTGAATACTATGAAATTTTCAACATAATGTTCATTAAGGTGAGGGGTTGACAGACAAGGGGTTGAATTTCATGTAGAAATGCGTCCCTTTGGAAATTAAAGTTGACATATTTTACAATGTTTTACTAATACTAATACTAATATCAAATAACTCCCGCAGAGAGGCTTATTTCATTTGGAATGTACTGTATGATATCTTCTCTAAATGAAATGTGTGTGATAAACATTGACATCAGTCAAGCACACCTTCGCCTTTTTGAAAATTATTTCGCTAAATGGCGACGAAGCCAATTTGTATCAGACGATCAGAGAGTAGAATATTTCTTCTCATACTGAGGAACATATCCCAATAATGTTATTATCTGAAAACAAATCATGAAGATGATTATTGTAGTTATGAGAAAATATCCAAATAGTACATTTGTTTGGAACAAATTTTTCAAACAATGAGAATGGAGTATTTTCAGAAAAATATTCATGTAGCTTTCTTGAATCTAGATATTTGAAAACTTCATTCTAAATATTTTTATTCGTATAATAGAAGTTCATCATTCATTACTGCTGCAATAACTTATGATGTCTGCTTCAGTAGTAGACGAAACATTTAGTACTACACAGATTCTGGGATAGAAGTCCGGCAATTGATTAAAAATGACCACGAATCAAAACTGAGTGATGTACGATTAGAAAGTTACGTATGTGTAGCTCCCATTGGAAATTTCGAGTGAATTTGTTTTTCTGTTATTTTCTTGTTTTTTTTTTTTTAGTGAGAATTCGTATATTTATTCTTCTGTTTTTTTAAATTTTATATTTTTTTTATATGTTTTTA